AGTTGTACTGTGACAGTCGCCGAGTGTGTTATCAACAGTTCTCAAGGCAGCAGCCTGCGAGTGTGCGATAACTAAGAAGTCAGCGAGCGGAAGACTTATTGTGTGCTTTCAAGACATAGTGAGTGCTGTAGTACAGTTATAATTGGAGTGTGTATTTCAGGGAGACTTGTATAGCTCCCGCGTTATTAATACTTGAAGTCTCTTGAAGACGGTGTTAAGAGATTTTGTTGTAGGGTTTGTAAACTGTGGAAACCCGTAACATTGTTATAATTAACTGTAGCCGATACTTGTAGATTGTTAAATAAACCAGTTAACGATCTCTACGGCCTATTCAGTAACGTAAACACGTTACAATATGTTAGTGATCGTTGTCAACCAGCCATTATACTTACCTTTAAAACACAATGTTATGACAGCGGCATGTAAACTGTATGTGAATCCATAACTGTTTAGTTTTCTGTCATATGACGCATTTGGAGTATAGGGTAACTTCAGTCACTATGCTACAAGCCTGAAGTTGCTTGTTCAAAATCCAGTGAGGTCGATTTTTTCAATTTCCATAATCCTTCCAGCCACACTATGGCCCTGAGGTCGACTCAGCCTCTAACAGAAATGAGTACCAGGAATCTTCCTGGGAATAAAGGGCGGCTGTTTTGTAAGGCTGACAACCTCACCGCCATCTGTGAGCCAATTGTTTAGAAGATGTGGAAGCATCAGCCTCTGATAACCCTATGGGCCTTCATAGCCTGTTACAGGGATAACTTTACCTTTACCATGTGACTCATTTATGTTACTACATTCATAATGAAGATGACCCGTGGATTGAATCCATACCATCTTTAGTTCTCACGCTTATGACAGTTCACTGGTAGCAAAGATGTCAATAATTTCATCACACAGACGTATCATATCAGTATCATTAACAGTATCACAGAAGTTAAGCCATACCACCTTCTTGTTTAGCTTGCAGCGTGGGATCGTTCTGGTCTATATAGGTTCTCGAGAGAACAGAATAAGACGAGCCAAGATAGGATAAAGAAATGAGCAAGGCGGAAATACCCAAAAACAAATAACCAAGTCAAATAACAGCAAAGAATAAATATAATATATAGATCATCATCATTAGTTATCTGTCAGACGACAAGTCCACAGTCTCTTCC